GAGAGAGAGAGAGAGAGTTGATGAAAAAAGACATACTAAGAGATACAAAGATAAGACAAATCTTTATTGTCCAGATCTTGGGACATTGGTTTGGGGTTTCACTCCTTACACACATACTATTACACACCCGCGCGCACACACGCGCACACGCACATACACACACACACATACACACACAAACATGCACACACACGCAGGTTTACAGTCACATGCTTAATATAAATAAACAGTAATAATATAAACAATAATAATCTTAAGCTAGATTTAAAAAAAGTTGTTCCCGCATCCGATCCGGACATTGGGGATTGCCTTGTTAGTGAGACAACTTCCTGGGCCTTCGGCATATTCTGGTAGGGTGGCCTGTTCCTTTCCACGCCTCCTTTACTTCCCCAGCTCGAAGTCAGGTACCCATTACTGTAGGGTGAGCAGGAAGGGGCGAAAAAATCCGTGTCCGAACCGAGGCTCGAACCGGGACTTTCCGCCTCGGAGACGAGCACACTAACCACTCCGCCACCGCACCCTCTAGATACGTACTAGGTATTCTGACTGTAACTAATAACTAAATGCTATCCTGATGCATGCTCTAAGGCTATATGAAGCTTGATACATACTCAGTATTCTGACTGTAACTAATAACTAAATGTTATTTTGATGCATGCTCTAATGTCATATATGAATATTTGTAACAGGATGGTTAAGATGGAAGAATTTTGATGGATGATGGTAATAATTACCTTTTGTATGTTTCTTTGTTACAGATCAGAAGCCTAGGTCTTTTACTTCTGACTGATGTTTTTATTTGAGGGAACAAGGGCTGTTTATTGTCCAAAAAATTTGAATTAATTTTCATATAGGCAAGCTGTAATGTACAATTTACCCAACTTGGGGAATGAAGATGTTGAAATTTTGCATGCTTTCCGTATTAATCGATTTAATTTTTCTTTATCTAGTTGTCTTGTGTTCCCGGCCCATGCTATTATACAGAAATTGATCATACTTTCCATGGTTAAATGATAGAATATGGACATCAACTTTAAAATACACGAGCTTCCTCAGAAAAAATAGACTTTTGTTCACCTTTTTAAGCAGGAGAAAAGTGTATACACGCCTGTTGAGTTTATTGTTACCCCCAACTACTTATAATCTGACACTTGCTCGACGTTTTCACTTTTAATTTTGAGAGTCTGCACTAGGCTACCGACGCCACTCTCTTACCTTCTTTTTTGTAAGTGTTTTACGGCGCACGCAACTATGTAAGGCCATATGAGCGCACGTGACACATTAAACCTTTTGTTGGTAGGACATTTAGAATTTTTCAGGGTGACGGCCGAAGTCTACTCTATAAATCGATTTTAGACCACCAGGGGATCTTTAACAAGCACGATTTGCACACGGGACCTCCGAGATTTTTCGCCCTTGTCCGAGAAGGCTAGATCTAGGTGTAGATCTTTCCTACCAGAAGATCAGGGGTGTGGCTGAAGACAGCAGTAAGAAGAAGCCACGGATTAGCAGTAGAAAGACTGCAGAAAGAGTCAGGAGCCCAGAGGAGGGGGCAAAGGAGGTGACGGGGTGGGAGCAAAAAGTGGAGTCGAAAGCAGATGACAGAGCATTGTTAGTGCGCAGACACAGTGGCCGCAGCTGCAGCGATGCACTTTAAAGTTACTCGCCGCGTCTGTTCCGACTTCTTTTCTAGCGAGCACAGTGGCTGCGTCTTTCGGTTCAGTCGGTTCATTCGGCCACATGTCAGTCAAAGAGGATGGCTAGAGAGGTTCTTCAATTGTTGATGCTTTCATGGCTCCATAACAGGAGACGATCCCGCCGTAGATATTGGGTACATAGAATCAATAAAAAGAGAGACACATATTGGTGAATGCCATCACCTGATGGCAGAAATCCTTTCAGACGAAGAAAAATGCCTGAAATATATCCGGATGAGACCCTCCACATTTCAGCTCTTGTTGGACAAAATTGGACCCTACATAGAGAAGCCAACTACCAGTTTCCGGAAACCCCTGTCAGCAAAAGAGCGTTTGAATTTGGAAAAAGACTGCTGGCTGACAGGCTTTCCATTTAAGTTGCTCTGGTTTCACCCCTGCCTTGCCAGGATGCTCAAAGTGCTTATATCGTTTCAGTTATCCCAGAAACAGCTCTCGTCGCTTCCTAATTGTTCTTAACAGTGAACGGTTCACGAATGCTTGTTTCAGTACTTTCTTGTTTGATTTCTTTTCCTTTCATGGAATCTCAAGATGTCTCCTGTGCAAAATCCACGATTAAAAGGACTGCACCTCCTGATAACCTGCGGTAGTAGGCCAGTGATACTTTCTGTGTTCAGTAAGGGGGAACGATTGGTTTGTGGAGTGCAGTTGAACCAGGTGTAGCGACAGTTGTTGGACCATTTTCTTGTTTAATCATCAACATCATTTTAAAGTTCATGGCTGTTTTGTGTTCTTTTCACCTGTGTCCGTGGGTGGCTAGCATGGACTGAGATGAAGTCTGCTTCTCTCCTATAGTACGGTCAAACATTGGAGACGCAACTAATTGTCAAATATCTCCTCAACTATCGAACATATTTATATTCTCCAATTTTTGCGCAATGACTTGTATCACTTTGTCGTTACAGATCAACATTTTTGTAAACACCTGCACATTGTATTCTAGAAAATTCCTTAATAAATACTTATAAAAAATCCAAGTGGGTGGTTTATACAGATTTTTAAATGTTTACAGTTGGGGCAATATAGCTTTTAATAGCAAGTCCGTCATGTTTTTTAATCGGGACATTATGCTTATTGAAAGCATGTTTTGAGAGCCATTAGTGCAAAAACGAGTTCACTATAACAATAATTTCTTGTAATAAGTTTTGCAAGTAAAAATCATCTTTGATGAGCTGTGACATAGGCCATATGCGTAATCAAAATTTGGGCTATGGCAACACTTAGATGAGTAACTTACTTAAATAACCTTATAAGAGTGAAGAAACCTATTTTGCTTTATTTATTTACTCATGTAGCCTATTTATTTATATATATGTAAAACAATTTCCTGTGTGTTTACTCTAAGACTAACAGCTAATTTCAAAACCCAAAAAGCTGCACAGTTGGTTGCTAATACTCAACACAAAAGCGCCAGATGATAGAATTGGGCATGTACAAAAAAATGTGTGTGAGAAGCGGGAAGTGCTGAGAACAATATCATTTTACGCGTGACAGAGATTTCAAGTATTTTATATGAATTTATGAAGAAAAGTTTATAACTCTAGCCCCAATTGTTCTAGAAAAATATATATGATTTAGTTAAGACAAATTGATACAAACTGCTAAGTGAAGTATGGATGACATTGATTCAACCGTTAAAGAGATATATTTGAGGATAAGTTGCACCACGAATTTTTGAAAGCACTATAGTTTTAGTAAGGTTTTACGGCACTCACTGTCATATGAACGCAAAGGGGAGGATGTCAACATGGAAGCCCAAACCGGGAATCAGGCTTATTCAATAGCATTAAGTCTGCTTTGACTATCAAGGCACCCCAGAAATAATAGTTCACAAGAGAGTGACAAATGTACAAAAGAAGAAGAAAAATGGCGACAGTAAGGACAAGGAAAGAAAAAGCAGCAGTTCCCCCTATGTTGTTCCGACACAGTATGAGCATGGCATTGATAAATCTGCCCATTTGCAATTATACTGTGCATAAGAACATGTTAATACCCCCCCCCCCCCTTGGAATGGCCTAAAGACACTTCAGTCAGCAGTACTGCCGTGATGGGGGAATGTTAGACTGTATGTAGAATATGTACCGATGTCCAAGACACACTGGCAAAACTCAGAGCCTCTGCAAAGACTCTCCTCAGTTTTTGTTTTTCCTACCGTTTCTGGGGGTCTGACAAAATCTCAAAGCATGCTCACTTGCAGAAAGTACACACACACACACACACACACACACACACACACATAAACACACACACTCACTCATACACACACACACACACACACTCATGCACACACACAGCGCGCGCGTGCACGCATTCACGCACACATATTAACAGGGGAAGAAAGAGCAGATAGAGAGAAAGAGGGAGAAAACGAGAGAGAGAGAGAGGGAGAGAGAGAGAGAGAGAGAGAGAGAGAGAGAGAGAGAGAGAGAGAGAGAGAAAGAGAGAGAGAGAGAGGAGAGAAAGTGAGTGGAAATCTAGAATATTGTTCTATCACAAACTCGGTCTGACTTTCTAGAGGTACAGATGCAGAACAAGAAGACACAATACACTTTTTAGAAAATTGTAATAACGTAATGGAGACGTGAGCAAAAGGAAAAAGATGGGACAGATTTCTTTGAGTTTACAAACTCATTAATTTGCTGAGTACTGTAAAGCATAACATTGGATAATTCGCTGAGTACATCTACTGTAAAGTATATAATTGGAACATAAACAGGACACTTGAGGAATCTATTGGAGGCTGCATACAAATGTAGCATACTACACGTCCAGCACGAAAGTCTTGGTCAGTGCCTTAAGACGGTGGACTTTCAACTTCTTCGGCTTTCATCTTGGTAAACTGCGTCTTCTCTTTTGTCACCCACAGGATAGCACCATTCATATTTTCCAGCTGGACCAGTTGCATAAAGGCATCAACCACAGTCGGTATCCTGTGGGATATAGAAAGATACGAATAGCTACTTTTGCCTGGAAGGATGGCCCAGGACAGATATAAATGGAAGGAGCCTGTATGTGGCCTATACCATGCCAGGGGTGAAAGACATTGATGATGATGATGATGATGATGATGATGATGATGATGATGATGATGATGATGATTATGATGATGATGATGATGATGATGATTATCATTATAACATTATTATTATTATTATTATTATTATTATTATTATTTGTCAGTTAATGCATGACGATGACCACCACGTCAGCAGAAGACAATATTTCTCAAGTGAAATAGAACAATTCTGAAAAATTAAAGTTCAGATGGCTTGTGCCTTCTACTTTCGAGGCCGCTGAGACCGATTGAGGCAGAGAATAGTTTGCTACATTTCGAGCATGCAAAAGCTTCATTTGCACTTGTGGATGTGCGCAGCTTGAGGGCTTCTCTCTTGATTTCAGCTTTTTTTATTCATGAAGCCTCATATGCGTTGCTGCATTGTTCCTTCTAGCTTACATTACTTGTTCGTTAAGCCTATATATATGTATATATATATATATATATATATATATATATATATATATATATATATATATATATATATATATATATATATATATATATATATATATACACACACATATATAATATTCTTTTGACAGCTTCAGTGTCCTTCAGCGTAAGGGGGAGGTTATGGTTTTACGGCAACCTATCTTGTCCCAAACAGCTGGACATTTATTGATACCGAATTTTCTGGACATCAGACGTGATCGCTCACAAAAATAATGGTCTCTTTAGATCCACGTCTAAGTAACGAGTATCTCAGTGAACTTAAAAACTGAGCTCAACATCGCCCTTTAATCGAGTGACCCTTCTGTGCTCGGAGAGCATAATTTTAACGCTAGGTCATGGATGAAGAAATCGAAACGACCAGGACAGGGTGCAGTGACAATCGGATCTTAGTTGGGTGGCGGTAAAAAGTACATTTTTGAACCTGTGCAACCTTAGCATGCCACAAGGAGATACAACCCCCTCATTATGTGGACTATACATTTATGAATTGGTTTATTGTTCATCATTTTCCCCTTCCATTTTTTCTCTTGTTCACTCTTGTCAGCGATTAAGTGCTCAACCTTTAAATTAATCATCTGTTATGTCTAGTGACCAGTTCATGCCCTATAGCGCAGTAAACTCATACCATAGAAAACATCTAACAGTCTGGAAACATCATTCATTGCCTGCATCATCAATGAGTCTATCTGCTTGAATTAGACGAAGGAGAAACTGCTTGTAACTCACACATGATCACCAAAAGGCATTATATAAACCGTTTGACCACTACCCGCCTCTCAAACCAATTCCATAACCCCTACCCCCCTCCCCCAAGCGGACAGAATAAACAGGTACGGCAATATTGTCTAAATGCAATCCATTTTCATTATTATTACTTTTAACACAACTAAAAGAACTGCCTTACTCCATCGTCGTTCTTGCGAGAGCGTCTTTAATATGGTCCAAAAAGTGGACCTTTGAGTCGTCTAGTTTCAATACCAGATCAGTAGCTGCTGCATTGGGGCACAGGACGCCGTACTCGACTCCAAGCTCGGCAACTTTTGGCTGAGTCTGTGGACAAAGAAATTTGCTCAAAGTTAAAGTTATATGCGTATCTATTCGATATGTCTCTCGCCCCCCTCCCCTCCAAAAAGGCCCACTTTTTACTTTTCCGATCCAGCGGCCATCTGCGTTCTAGCCCTTCAGCCTGACCCTAAAGGCCTTCTAGACTTCCCAAACATCTCCCTTGCCTGGGGTATTTATTCCAAGTTACAATTCGGTTAAACAATTCCAGCCAGATGGACACCTAGCATTCACACGTCTCGGAAAATTTTTAAGTATTTGTGTGTTCTCAGATTCTTGGAATATTTGAATGATTAGTTCTTTTATTCATTAATTAGTTGATTGACAAGTGTGTGTGTGTGTGTGTGTGTGTGTGTGTGTGTGTGTGTGTGTGTGTGTGTGTGTGTGAGAGAGAGAGAGAGAGAGAGAGAGAGAGAGAGAGAGAGAGAGAGGGGGGGTAATATATAAAAAGTGTTTACGACTCGTAGTAGAAGAAAACCCATGGCGTTACAAACTCCAAAATGTAAATCTGAGCTTCAAGACATTGACTGAACTTGAGGCCAATAAAATATGGATAGATCTGACTTGATCGACACGGAACAAGAAATATAGGTTCGACTGAATGTGTTCCATCAGCTTTGTGATAAAGTCGGAAAAAACCCAGTTAACTCGCTCTAACTGTCACCTTCCCAAGACACTCTCTGGTATAACAATTATTCAAATTCTCACTTCTTCTTTGAGTTTTAAAAAAATAGTATAACAACACTGTGCAAAACGTCCTCCTGCTTAAAACAATCACTTTTCTCGTCTGCACTGGGTGGGATTTTTGGACAATTTTGACTGTACAGTACACTATTAGTTCATTAAAAAAAAAAGAATTGCTGAGATAAAAAGAAAAAAGAAAAAAAGAAAAACTAAACCATCGACAATTGGTATGTTTGTACTTATTGTTACTTTCCAAACATATCACGTGGCATTATACACGACACTCCA